GGGCAGGACCCCGCGAGGCGATGTGCGCCCTCGGGGGGGCCCCCCTCAAAATCTCGGCCACTCGCCTGGTCCTCAGCCTGGTCCCCCTCACCGCCCAGCGCCTCGCCTCCTCCTCCCCCGCCGGGATCGGCGCGGCATCCCGGCCGACGCGGCTGCTCCGGCTCTTCCGCCGCATCCTCGCCCGCCCCACCCGCCGCCGTGCCACCCCGGCGCTGTCCCGCGCGGGGGCGGAGCAGCCCCTAGCAGCCATCGTCGACAAGCTGGCGCCCGCGGCCCACAAGCAAAAGTGAGCACCCGATCTACTTTAGAGGAAGCTGGTGCTCCGGAGATTGCCGCGGTCGTAGCCATTCGGCCCGCACCCAGATATGTGTTGTACCTTTACTACAGCCGCGGGGCCGGAACCGCAGGCTCAGGGTGATGCTCCGTGTCCGAAGAAGTCCGATCTTGATTCTCCGGATCTTCGTTCGACAAGCGCTCCACCTCGCCCCTGGGCACTGCGGGGCCTTTTTTAGTTTTTTTCACCATTCTACTCTACTTTAACAAATACGCAGTATACCATCCAGGGACCAGGGGCCTAGAGAACACACGTTGCTCCCTCTGCTCTCCCTTTTTTGATTTCTCCCAATAAGGTAAACAGACGTTCAGTGTGTGCCCCTAAATTGCCCAGCGCAGGGCGGGGGGACGGGGAGCCGCGCACTGGCGCACGCATGGTGATGGAGGGCCATGTCGCGGAGATGGCACAGGGCTAGAGAGCGCGGAGCGCGCGCACAGAGAGAGGGCGTTGGGAGAGCACACAACACACGACACGTACGACTTCGAACCCCGCTTAGTAGTCTTCGTCGAGAGCCGCGCTGACAATGCGGCTTGCAAGGTCATCCTGGCCGGTCAGGAAGGGCCAAAGGACCGCGATTTGGATCCCAAGGTTGATGAGGAAGCAGCAGCCCATGATTTGGCGCGTGTAGCCGCGGGTGCCCGTCCCGAAGGGGACGAAGAAAAACTAAGGAATCGAGGATGCGGGGAAGGTGCGTTGTTATAGGGGGTGAAGTGGTCAGACAACGTGGCCCGCGTGCCTGAAAGACACCGAGCAGGGCAACGCCGAGGGGAAATAGCAGCCAAGCCTGCGCGGACGGGGAGCGAGGGAGGGGGGCTAGACGGCCTCGGACGAAGTGGCGCGGTCCTTAGGTGTCGAGCCCGCGCTGCTGCACGTGCGGCTCCCGGCACACCTCCCAGTACCGCGGAACTACCGCAATGAGAATGATCAGCGCGAACTCGAACACGAACATGACGAGGGCGGCCTGCCGCGGCTTTGCAGCTGCCACCCACGCAGCGTCCGGAGTCACGACGAGGACCCCAATAGATGACTTTGTCTTTGGGGCCATGAAAGTAATGATGTCCAGCCCCTTTTCGTCGATTGACATGACAAAGCTCGAGACGACGCCCAGCAGCAGGACCTGCAGGCAGCGGGGCGAGCGGTGATCTCGCGCGGTCGACGGTGCCGACTCTGGTGGAGGTGTAACAGAGGTGCACGGCCGAGGTGTCGCGTGGCCTTGTCGAAGGCGACTTGGTCGCTGCTCGTAGCGACGGCGGCGGCAGTCACAAAGATCAGAGTCGGCAGCACCGTGGTCACGAGCAGCGTCAGGTGCGCGATCCAAGCTACGATGAGGAGCTTGGGAGGGTGCCCAGAGCACCCGTAGGTGTGTGTAGACGCCCACGCGGTGTGGAGCAGCAAGCGCTGATAGGGGAGTTCCTGCACGCCCTTGAGGTGCGCGAGGGAGACCACCATGAAGGATGGCAGGAGGAGGAGGGACACCACGGTGGCAGCGCACTGTGCAAGGCCCGGCAACGTGTCCCACTTGAAGTCAAACATCGTCTCGATGGCTGACGTCGTGGAGTAGTCGTCAACCTCGTTGAAGAACTCGGTGAAGAGCATCGCGAAAACGAGCAACGACTGGAGCATCACGATCGTGACGGAGAGAAGGACGGGCTGGTTGCACACATGCCCAGTCGAGAGGCTGCCAGAGCGTGCGGTGTGGCGGGGAGTGAGCGGCATCCCGAATGCTGTGCAGTGCGATCTAACGGGTGGTAATGAATGGGCGCAGGCGGCAGGCTGCGCCTGTAGATCATCGCCCAGGTGTGGAGGCTCTTGCACTTGTAGTCGGTCGTACCAGAAGTGTCGACGTCGGGGCCCAAAGTGATTTTCGGC